TAATGTTCATCGTGATTAGGAGAGAAGGAAATTAAGTTATTATGATACTGAAAGACATCTACACATTTTCAGGGGTGCTGAGAAATTTGAAGGAATTTGAGAGTAATTTAACAAAATAGAACTCAGCAGAGAAAAAGAGCATATTATCCAAACAAGCAACATTACCTCTTTGCACATTCCAGTCACCAATTATTTACTTAGACAAATTGGTGAGACTGAAGATCCAACCTGAATTTTTGCCTAAGTGAGCTGTGTATGTTTTTCTTTTTTTAAAAAAAAAAAAATCTGCCACTTGGGGCCTTCCTGGTGGCATAGGAGTTAAGTCTAGCGCTATGAAGCTATCTCCAGCTACTATGTCAGGGAGCTAACCCTCCACACACAGGGCAGCAGACCTCTCTCCTGCCTCGCCTGCTGTTCTGTTCCCCATTCTGTCTCTGGTGAATCCTCTCACCGCCCCAGGCACTTCTGGCCCACACTCCAGTTCTTGTGTGCATAAATAAATGAAAATAAATCTTAAAAAAAAAAAGTCCCATTTGAATATACCTCCTACAGAAATTCAAATACAAAGTAGGCTCTAGAGAATACCATACATAGACTCTGCACATTAAGTAAGCAGTTAGGCAAGTAAACCTGTTGGGAGGAATGATGGTATAAATATTCCTCCTGTTGAGTGCTATGGCCCCTCCTCCTCATTCTCACAAAGCTTTGATCTTGCCTGCAATACAGTCCTGATCCTGCCACTTGGGATGTGGATATCATCAAGGACAATCACTGGCACTGCTGGTAATATCTTCTCTTTAAATATAAATGATCTTTCCTTTAAGCATTTTGAATTAGGGTGGATGTATGTTCAGGTAGCATAATATGGCCTCCTTTCAGAAATATTTAATCATTCAGTTATTTATGATGGCTAGAACTTTTTGTCATTTCTCTCTTCATAACAAACTCTGAAATTGTTTTTTTTTATTTTTTTAAAGATCTATTTAATTTATTTATGTATATAAGAACTGAAGTGTAGGCCAGAGGTGTGGGAGGTGAGAGGATTCACCAGAGAAAGAGTGGGGAGCAGAACAGGCAGATCTACTGAGATACACTGCTGAGGGGAGCAGCGGATTAGACAGGAGAGGTCTGCTGTGCCATGTGGGTTAGCTCCCTGGCCGGGGATGGAACTCTGGCCATAGAGGTGGGCCATCACAGTGATAGCACTGAGATTTAACCCATAGGCCACCAGGCAGGCCCAGTTACCCTGAATTTGGAGGTGAATTTAGTATAGTGGAACTGCAAAAGAAATTCATTAATTTAATTTATTTCGGTCACTTAATGTTGATACATTAAAGGGAACATGCTCCACTTTAATAGCTAGTCTCAAAAACATTATTTTATAGATAGCATGAGCATTGCCAACTCTGGTTTGTGGGTAAAGAAATAAAGTTTCTAAAGGTGATTTTAGAAAAGTGCCTTTTCTAAAGCCAAACTGCTAATTTAATCATTTTACACATTACACACACACACACTTGTGTTTTTATTGAGTCTTATTTGAGTTTTAAGATACATACTTTATTAAATAAATCATCTAATAAGAAAATACAAATTCTGTGTTCTTATTCACAATAAGTATTTTATTCCAAGGTAAAATCTATCTCAAGAGTGCAAGATTTCAAAATTATGTCTTTTTCTAAAATTCTAACTAGTTTCTATTGTGTTGGTTATGATCTTAATCTTTTTACATTTGAGTTGTTTTCAAGAGGAAATTATGCATCCTTTGATACAAAGTCATGTATTCAGAAAAAAAAAAGTCTGTGTAGAAAGAAGTAAAAATATAAGTAAAAAAAGATGAGACCTGATAGCAAATGTATTGAACTAGAACGTTAGAAGGAAAATTATTATTTTCACAGACAGACATCAAATTCAAGGACTTATGTTCAACCATGAATTTTCAATCATCTTGATAATCAAATGGGCAGCCATCATTCAGCAATTTGCTCTGGCTGTGATATGATCCTTAAATCAAGAAATAAGAAATACCACACAACTTCTGAAAAGTTCTTTCTTAATCTGTATTTTGACCAAGAGTCCTTTCCAGCTCAAATATCATCTAATTTTATGAGAAAAAGGCAGGCAAATGTTCAGCTTCTAGAGAGTAAGAGAGACTGTATTTCATAGAGCCAAGGAAGAAGTTTCAATGGATTTCACTTTGATTCATTTCAATGTATTGAATACTTACTAAAATAGCAAGTCTTTTAAGAAGAGTGATTAAGAAGTAATTTAAGAAAAGAATTAAAAGGATGCTCCAGATCATTCAGATGATCTTCAAAACTGAGAAAAGAATATGAGAAAGCAAAGGTATAGAAATTTTGAGGTTTGAGCTGCTGAACAATCTTTACAAGCTGATGAGATTCACTATATTGGTAGTATTTTCACATGAAGTCACGACAACAAATCAACATCACTAAAAATATCATCATGCTTTCTAAAACTCTCCAAAGAGCCCATTGACATTTTGTTAAAAGATACTGGTTTAACCCAGGACAGATTGCAAGCAAGTCCACACACCTCTACCACTGTATTGTCCATCAGCGCAAAGCATGACTGAGTCTTTCATCAAAGACTGAATGAATATGGAGTGCTACTATTCCCACAGTCAAGAGCTTCTTTTTACTCTTGTTTGTTTGATTAGCATGAAATTTCCCATTCAAGTGGAACAGATCTTAGGATCTAGACAAATATAAATAACATCTTTGTTTTTGAAAGGATTAGAAAATGAATCCAAACTAACACAACTGAAACTACTGAATCATGCTTAGACTTCCCTGATCTTCTCCATGTTAGGAAATGAAAGAGATTCTGTTGCTACTTGAACTCGATATCATACAAAGTAAAGTGGAAAAGTGAGGCAGATGTGCCTCTATTACATAATGTTTCAGGTGGGGTTTAGAGAGAATTGTCTTCATTCACCTCAAGCCTCAATTTCTGCCTCTGATATGGTAGGGGTAATATGGTATGTGGGTCAGCACCCACAGTGATTGATACCAAAGTTGACAGCAGACCAAACCCTTTGGCATATGGGTCAGTTTCCTGTGCCATGCTGCTAGTTCCATTTTTTTAAATATTTATTTATTTATGCATACAAGAGCTAGGGTACAGGCCAGAGGTGTGGGGGGTGAGAGGACCCACCAGAGACAGAGTGGGGAACAGAACAGGCAGACTCACTGAAATACACTGCTGAGGGGAGCAGCGGGCGAGACAGGAGAGGGCTCCTGCACCATGTGGGTTGCTCCCTGACCGGCCAGGGCATCAAACTCATGCTGTAGTGGCTGCGGATAGCCTCATAGTCTGTGTCTTAAACCCTTGCACCACCAGGGAGACCCCCCCAATTTTTTCTGAACCGCAAGTGTCACAAGTCAGAATGGCCTCATCTTCTGAATTTACTTACTGTCTATCACATCCCTACACACAAAATTGTTGACAGCAGTATTTTCATAGACATCACTTTATTTGACCCTCATAATAATGCTGTGGTTTGGGGCCTCCCTGGTGGCACAAGGCGTTAAGTCTTAGTGCTATCAAGCTATTGGCAGCTTCTGTAGCATGAGTTCTATCCCCAGCCAGGGAGCTGACCCACATGGCAAAGCAGACTTCTGTCTCACCCGCTGCTCCCCTCAGCAGTGTATTTCAGTCAATCTGCCTGTTCTGCTCCCTACTCTGTCTCTGGTGAATCCTCTCACTGACCCACCCCCGCACCTCTGGCCTACACCTCAGTCTTGTGTGCATAAATAAATAAATCTTAAAAAAATGCTGCGGGGTCAAAAAGGAAGGTATTATTACCTTTGATTTTGTCTATTAGGATCCTGAATACTTTCTACTTCCCCACTTGATGCACTGGTTTGAAAATATCACTGAGCCCTCCCATCAGTGACAAACACAGTGGAAACATGGAAGATTCTGCCAAACTGGTTTTATGGCACCATGTCGACCACTATTGCCCAATCTGCAAGCATTTCGTGTGTCTGGAAGACGCCCTAGGTGTGTGTCATCAACTAGGGTTTCCTCATGTCCACAGGCTTCCTGTCTTTCAACTCTCTAGCTTCTAACTGTTAATGTGACCACATTTCATTCTTCAGCCTGATGTTACACACAAAAGTTCAGAAGTTCCTAACCAATAAGGAGTCCTTGGGGAGAAGGAAAGTCCCATAACTAGGTAAGATCATCATTTCTCACAAGTGGGGGAGCATTGGGAGAAGTCAGGTGCAATGGCTCTGCAGAGGACTGCAGTGTTCCTGTTCTAGTTCTTTCACCTGTTGGCTCTGTGACCTAGGAAAGGTACTCAGTCTTTCTAAGCCTTTGGGGTTTTTTCCCCCCAGGATAATAACAGTACCTACTTCATGGAGTTTCTTCAAGGTTTAATTATCATATCTGAAGTGTTTAGAACAGTATCTGGCATAAGTATCGATAATATTAGCTATAATTAGTTTCTAAGAGTTTTGATTATATCACTATTTACAGATGTAAAATAATCTTTGGCCTGATAGCAAATATATAGCAAGCTATTTAACTTCAGAAGTAAAGTCTGAATTTCTAGAAGTTAGTCATTCATTTATTATAGTAAAGAAAGTTTCTCTGATATTACTCTTTTACTTATTCTTAGATTAAGAAAAATAGCCAAAGTATTAAGAACTTCCACAGCACTTAGCACTTTATGTATATTGTATTACTTAATTCTCTCTATAACCCTATAGGTATGTTACATTAGTGTCCCAATTTTACCAGCAAGGGAAACAAAACACAAAGCTACTGAATTACTTGTTCAAGGTCAGACGTCTTCTCTAAAATGAGCCTGAACTTCAAATTCAGACCGCTGGACTACAGTACTCATAAAATGAGCTCTCTATGCTCTGATGGTGTCAGCCTGGCTTTGAAGAGACATGCACTCAAACCGTGCCAAGGAAGGGAGGCTGCACATTTATAAATGCAAAATCGCTTCGGGTATCCACAAGAGAAATAACCACATCACTAGAACCTGATCCTAAGCTGTTTGGTTTGGTTGAAGCTTCATTGTTATTATTCTTTATTGTTTATGAGAAACTGGGTTAGACTAGGGGAGAGCTCCATTTTTATCTTTGCCACAGAATGGAAACTTGTCTTCTGGATCTCTCTGTATCCCGGCAATTCACAGGTGAGCAAAGACCCAACATAGTTGAAAAACTTCGATTTAAATAAGAGTGAAAAAGGCTTTTAACTAGCTTAAGTTCATTTATTCTTAAGAACTATGTAAAGGCAGTTTACATAGTTAAACATAATAGTAGTAGTAGTACTAGTAGTAATAATAATAATAATACCACAGTTAGCTCATTGTGTTTACTCTTTGTGTTTACTCTTTACTTCTTCCACACTTCCTAAGGTTTTTTTCATATATTAATAAAGTTTTCACTAAGGCATTGTTTTCATTTCATTCATCAACTTTGATAGGTAAAATTAATCTGTGTTTATTAAATGTTTTTTGTCAGGCTTTCCCATGATGTGGCTGTTTTTAACAACAACCTCTTTGATTTGTGGAACTTTAAATGCTGGTGAATTGCTTAATTTGGAAAATGAAGCAAATCCTGAAGTGTGGATGAATATTGTAAGCCATGGAAAATTTTATTTATTTATTTATTTATTTTAAGATTTATTTTTATTTATACAAGAACTGGGGTACAGGCCAGAGACATGGGAGGGTGAGAGAATTCACCAGAGATAGAGCAGAGAGCAGAACAGACTGACAGAAAACACTGCTGAGAGGAGCAGCGGGAGAGACAGTAGAGGTCTGTGTGCCATCTGGATATCTCCCTGGCCGGCCAGGAATCGAACACACGCTGCAGAGACTGCAGACAGCTTCACAGCATTGCACTCAACCTGCTGCACCAACTGGGAGGCCCAGACATGGAAAATTTTAAAGAACATCAAACAAAATAGACTAATGGCTTGGGAGGTTATTAAAGGTCCTGTTATGGTAGAAAATCTCTGCTAAGGAAGTGGTTTTTAACATTTCCCTAAAAATCAAGCTAGGTTGATCTGCTTTTTTTTTTTTTTAAAGATTTATTTATTTATCATACAAGAACTGGGGTGCAGGCCAGAGGTGTGGGTGGTGAGAGGATTCACCAGCGACAGAGTGGGGAACAGAACAGGCAGACTGACTGAAATACACTGCTGAGGGGAGCAGCAGGCGAGACAGGAGAGGTCTGCTGCACCATGTGGGTAGCTGCCTGGCTGGCCTGGATCAAACTAGTGCTACAGAGGCTGTGGATTTCTTCATAGTGTGGTGCTTAACCCCTTGTACCACCAGGGAGGCCCCAAGAATATAGTTTAGTCAGAAGAAAGGATCAAGGCTAAATTTTATCTCCACCTACCTCCCCTACATTTGCCAATCATACACATTTTTTTAGCATTCTGCTTTTTTAAAACAAGGTTTTCTATAGTAAATGAATTTTATAGATACCTTAGTTTACAGATTTTTAGATATTCTACCCCAGTGAGCATAGTCCAGATGTTTTGTTCTGGTTTCTTCTGAGGCCTTAGGGAAGACAAGTAGCTAATGCCTTTATTTTCACTGAGCAGAGTGAAATCATCACCTACAATGGCTACCCCAGTGAAGAGTATGAAGTCACCACTAAAGATGGTTATATACTCAGCGTCAACAGAATTCCCCATGGGCAAAAAGATGACAGGAGTACAGGTACAGGATATGTCTTTCCTGCATGTGACTAAAATTTAGTGCGCTCATCAGGAGAGTGATTTATTAAAATTGCTTGGAATTTTGAATTGGCCTTTAAATCGTTAACTGGGAGTCTGGTTCCCTCTAAATCTCTGATGACAGGCAAGAACGTAAAAATATAAAACAATGGGCAAGACTGATCTTGCTAATTGTAACCGGCTTTATTATTACGGTGTAAATGCAAAGGTGGAGACTACAATCTAAATTCATCACTGATTTCTCATGTGGAAACTCATTGTGTCCTTGGAAAGTGAACTTCCTCATGTTGGACAGAGGTTTGCTATATTTATAAAGTTGATTGTGGGGTACCCCAAGAGACTTTCCCAGGTTGTCACTAGACTCACTAGATCTCCCTCCACAGGATAAAAAAATATCAAGTTAAATGACAGCAGCATTTCTGAAACTTTTTCCAGGAAAGAAGCCTTCACATTCACATAAAATTTGACAGATGGTTTATGGGATGAAAGTGCATGGTGTTCATAAGACCTGAATTACAGAATAATGAACCAGCCTTGCAAAAGCAGAGGAGTCACTTTCTTGAAAAGGGGGACGATAACTGCAAAGCCTGTGAGGAAGGAGAGATGAGAATAAACCAAATGTCTGGCAAGGCTCAAATCTTTTGCTGGTGCTGAGTGTTACTAATACATCACTCTGCATCTTCTCTACTGACATCTACATTCAAATTTTTTTTCTTAATTTTTATTTTTCTGCTGTGTCATATGTGGGTCAACTCTGCCCATAGAACATAGCACTGAGATTTAACCGTGAGGACGCCAGGGAGGCTCCCAGCATCTGCATTCAGAAGCACTATATTGTTCAATATTCTTTCCCTGTGAGAAAGAAATTTGTAATTCCAGGGTTTCAGAATGAAAATGGGAGTGAGGCATGCATAAAGTTATCAGATAAAATAGGAGATGCTCATTTTAAGCTGAATCTCAGATAAACAACAGATACATTTTTCATGTAAGTCCCACTTTAGGAGATACAAAAAATTGTTCGTTGTTTATCCAAAATTTAAATGTATTAGGGTATTCTGGGTATTTTTATTTTCTCTTTATACTAAATCTGGTGATACCAGGTATTGGGGAGAGGAGGCTATGCAATATATATTTCAAAGCCTTTATTTGCTTAGAAAGGGAGATTTTTGGGAGAAGATTTAGAATTAGAAACCATGTATATTATTAGGTATAATAATGAGGTATGTTATTGTAAATGCTTTAATGAATTCAATCAGTTAAATTTATTAGTAACCCTGTAAGGTTGGTACTTTTATTTTTTTTAAGATTTTATTGATTTATGCATATAAGACTGGGGTGTAAGCCAGAGGTGTGATGGGGGGCTGGTGGTGAGAGGATTCACCAGAGACAGGGTGGGGAGTAGAACAGGCAGATCTACTGAAATACACTGCAGAGGGGAGCAGCAGGCAAGGCAGGAGAGCTGTGCTGCACCATGTGGTTTGCTCCCTGGCTGGTGGAATTGAACTCAGTGCTGCAGTGGCTGGCAATGCTTGATAATGCTGTCTTTAACCCCTGCACCACCAGAGAGGCCCCATATTGGTACTTGTAATAGTTATTTTGCAGATGGTGAAACTGAAGTAAAACAGCCTATGTAGAAGGCTTGAAGTCACACAAATAGCAAGTGACAGAACTAGAATTCAACCCAGGTGGACTGACATCAGAGCCTGTGCTCTTAATCATTAAATTATTGTCCTTTTTCTGACTTTTCAACCCTGTTCTCCTTATCTCCCTAAACACCCTTTCCTTCGGAAATTTGAGAGTTGGTAAAGGGATGTTGGGCTGACTTAATATCATTTTCAAATGCTCGCTAGTGGGCTAAGGCTGAGGGTTGTGCATTTGTGCTTACCTCTTCTCCTTTCCTGGACAGGTATAATATCCCAGTAAATGTGATAACTTTCATGTCTTTGTAAGTCAAATCTGAGAAATATGTAAATGTGAATGCAGAAAGCAGGGCAGTTACAAGCACATGCTTTGGCAGGAAACAGATCCGGGCTTGAGTCCTTATTGGCCGATGACCCCTTAGGAAAGTCACTTAACTACCGTAATGCTCAGTTTCCACATCTGCAGAATGAGGATCCTTAAAATAGTACTGCTTCATAGTTACTATTTAATAAGCTCATAGATGTAAATCAGTTGGCATAGCACCAGGTACCAAGTATGTGCCAAGAGACTTAAATCATGGGATGACATGCTCTCCAGCAATGACAAGGGCAAAAGGAAAGGCTGTTTTGTCTTTTGTATTTTCATGTGTGTGTGTGTGTGTATATGTGTTTCTATCATGTTTCTGAGATGCTCTATTTGTTAACTCTCTCTCTCTCCCCGCCCCTCCAGGTCCCCGGCCAGTTGTATACATGCAGCATGCCCTATTTGCAGACAATGCTTCCTGGCTCGAGAATTACGCCAATGGCAGTCTTGGATTCCTTCTAGCAGATGCGGGTTATGACGTGTGGATGGGAAACAGTCGCGGGAACACTTGGTCAAGAAGACACAAAACACTCTCAGTGACTGATGAGGAATTCTGGGCCTTTAGGTAACTGTATTTAGGAAAAATCATGAAGGATGTTTTAGACAATCTCTTTAAATAGAATAGGATGGATATTAATAATAGTATATTATAATTGAAGTCATATAGCCCCTTGTAGTTGCCACTAACACCTCAAAGAAGAGCAATAGCTGGAAGCTTTGATTTCTACTGACTCGCCCACCGGCAAATGATAGCATTTTAAAAGATCACTTTAACATCTAATTATATCCAATTCTATACATTATAGTCCTATATACATCCCTTCCTGACCTGAGGGACAGTTCAGGAAAATCCAGTGACCTGCACATGCCCTTATTCAACCAATGTTTATTGAGTGCCTACTAAGTACATTATTCTAGACCCTGAGCATTCAAGAGTCAGCAAAGGTGTTGCTCTCACAAGGCTTGCATTCATTCTAGCAATGCCACTACAAATCTTTTTCTCGTCCCATCAACTTTACAAAGATGATTTGTATCAGCTATGTCTTATTTAGAGAGCCGGCTTATATATAACATGATTTTCCTAAAACTCCAAAATTAGGTCTTTAAATATCTTGTTAATGGGAAAAGGAAAAGAATCTTTTTGTATTCTGACTTTTTCTTAGTAAAAGTGTATGCTACTGTCACCACAATGGGGCTGATGCCCCAAATCAGCTTCCTTTTGCAGGCCTCCTACTGGAAAAGACTATGCATTTCCACCACAGTAATGAAATATTTAACACCTGCTGACAAGTTGAGAGGAAAGGAAGGATAGAACAAATTGTCAGGATCAGAAGATTTGGGCAGGAGCAAACATCGGGAAATATTTTGTGTCATGGGTCCTGGGTTGGCAACCTAGAATTTTTTATAGTAAGGCATCACTCAATTCTCTTATATATTTTTAAAAGATTTATTTTTCTTATTTTTGCACAGAAGATTTGAGGCATAGGCCAGAGATGTGGAGGAAGGGGGACGGTGAAAGGGTTCACCAGAGACCGAGTGGGGAGTAGAACAGGAGGATCTACTGAAGTACACTGCTGAGGGGAGCAGAGGGCGGGACAAGAGAGGTCTGCTGTGCCGTGTGTCAACTCCCTGGCTGGGGATCAAACTCTTGCTGCAGTGGCTGCCAATAGCTTGATAGTGCTGAGACTAAACCCCTTGCACCATCAGGGAGGTCCCCATTCTCTTATATTTAGGGATATCAACCTAGAGATTTCATTACCTGGTCTTTTGATTTTAACAAACAGGCTTCTAGCTTATGGAATACTGTTGTGTAGGCCTTTGGTTCTCCTGGTTTAATGTCAGCTGAAAGGTACAATAGGATTTTGGTATATTTGAACGTAGCTCCATTTGGACAGAACTATTAATGATAGCAACACCTTAATGGATGTCTGTTAATAGTCGGAATCAGGGCCTCCCCAGTGGCACAGCAGTTGAGCGCTGGGCTGCGAAGCTGCCCGCAGCCTCTGCAGCACCAGTTTGATTCCTGGCCCCCGGCAGGGGTCCCACATGGCGCGCAGACCTCTCCTGCTGCCCGCTGCTCCCCTCAGCAGTGTACTTCGGTCCTTCTGCCTGTTCTGCTCCCCGCTCTGGCTCTGGTGAATTCTCTCACCCTTCCGCACTTCTGACTATACCCAGTGTTTGTATAAATAAATAAATAAATCTTAAAAAAAATAGTCGGAATCATTCCTTTCATGCTATCCAACCCTGAGGGCAGCCTGCTATGCAACAGACTCGACCATGTTTCATAGGTGAGGAAACTTGGGCTCAGAGCATCTGGATGACTTATCAAAAGTCACTTAGCTAGTCAATGGTAGAATCATAATTTGCAATTAACCTTGTTTCCAAAGCTGCCTATTAAAGGGCCCTAAAAGTCTTAAAGCTACAAGAGGAGTCTAAAGTAGAGACATGCAGGCAAGGTGAGGAGAGGAAAGTGAAAGATATACCAGAGAAGAGAATAAAATAAGGACTGGTAAGACTGACCTCAGGTAGGATGCTTACGTTTTGAGGTCATGCTTGTTGATAGAAAGCAAAATACACCAATGCAGCAAACAAAATCTATATCAGTCCAGATTTAATTGAATAAGTATACATGCCAAATTAGTGAACAGCACAGAATCCTTTGTGTAAAACTAAGTGCTCTGAGATTTAAACTTGATTGTATTTATCATATCCTGTTTCAATTTGCAGTTTTGATGAAATGGCCAAATATGATCTCCCAGGAATAATAGACTTCATTGTAAGTAAAACTGGTCAGGAGAGGTTGTACTTCGTTGGACATTCACTTGGCACCACGATAGGTATGTTTACGAGGGTCAGAGTTTTACAAGAGTTAACCTTTAAGTTGCAACAGACTAACTGCCAACAACACCCTTAATCCTGTGTGCTGTGCTGGGCCCATAGCTCTGATGCCCTGAGTAACTGTGAATTCCAGAATTTCAGAGACCGTGAGTAGGGCACTTTCCTCCACTTACGCTCACAGCACCAATTTGTATAATGGTGATATAATTTCTCAGGAGTAACCTGTGCCCAAAACCCAAAGAAGTGTTTCCAAAGAGTAAGTTTCTACATCTCCTCTGAACTGAAAAAGTAAGACTTAATGTCATGAAATCTGTCTTGAGAATGGTATATATGCCTCAATCATATCTTTCTCAAAATCCACATGATACTTAAAAAAATAAACATTTTTTATAGAAGGAGGGGCTTATACTTTTATATGAGCAAATTGAAAAATACAATAATGTTTTGTGAGTTGGAATACTAAAGTTACTATAATAAATCAACTGATTTTATTTATTTAGCATGTGATTCAATATTTAAAGAACAGCAATGCAATTTTAGCATTTTGAAGGCTAAAACCCTATTCTTTGAAAATGTACTTCTTAATAGTTTCCTGGACTCTTTTGGAAAGAAATCCTTAATCTAGCTCCAAAAAAAAAAGAGATAAAGAGGCTCATACTCTTAGAAATGTGAATACTTTGGTTTGGATGAAATTTCAGAAGACAATAATTATTCTTACAATGATGTCATTATCACTTACCATCAATAGCAGATATATATTTATCAGTACTTTATGTTTGTAGGCAGCTTACAATCTTAGAACATGCAAGGAGCCTCTGCTATGGCCATGCACACATGTGCGCGCACGCGCACACACACACACACACACACACGCAGTGGAAGGGGTCCCAGAAGACAACTCTGGGAACCTAAATGCACAGATATTCTAAGCTGCTATTCCTTTGTGGTTCTGGGCTCTGCCTCATCCTTACAAGATAGAAATGGGTACAGTGTTATTGCTGGAAGATGACAGTGAATGGAGACACCTGGTCCTTACTAAGACTGCTGTGGAACAAGGGAGTGTCCTTCCCATTTAGGAGCAGGGAAGATTTTGAGGGGTTGGTAAATATCAAGTGAAGTCCTGGGAGCAATGAAATCTCATTCTGCTACGAGGAAGTTATTCTATTATGGAATAACTGGAAGATAGTACAAAAGAATTAACTGTTTCACCTCCCACAAGCTGATTCTTCATTCTGGAAACTCCATGGCTGAGTGTGGCATCTCCATGTTGGGGGTGACATTGCGAGCATATTTGGCAAAGGAGCTTGCCCAGCTTACCTAGCAGGAGTGGTCACTTCAGCACCTTACCCCTCACTTCCACAGTCCAGTTAAATTATCCAGAGTAAGAGAACAATGGAAAATTGAGAGTAGAGAGGGTTTCCAATCCATCCCAAAATCATTGCAAAAGAAGAATAAAAGTGACAAAGCTAAGTTTCACTTCTGTTAGTAGAAACATTGCCTAAGTTTTTACAATTTTTACAAGATTGTCTTGTTTCCTATTCTCTCAGGGTTTGTAGCCTTTTCCACCATGCCTGAACTGGCACAAAGAATCAAAATGAATTTTGTCTTGAGTCCTGTGGTCTCATTCAAATATCCCACGGGTATTTTTACCAGTTTTTTTCTACTTCCAAATTCCATAATCAAGGTAGGCTTTTCCTTTTGTCAAAATGTATCCAAGGATCTCATATTAGATCACAGGTTCTTATTATTTCAAAATATATTCTGAACTAAAGGTAGAAAATTTAGACGAAATTTCCAGAAGCGAGATTCTGTGCTTAAGTGTATGCAGGGGCTGTGTGTCCATTTGGTGCATGTTTGTACCAGAGTTTACAGTTTCCACGGGCAATTTACACCACTCAGTCTTGAACAGCACTGAATATTTATAAAGAATTATTCACTGAGCTAAATGTTATATCTGTGAGGGTTTACTCACAAGTTTTCTTATTCCAGTGAGCAGGTCAGTGAATTCACAATGCCCAAGTGGAAGACATTTTTCAAATGATATGTTATGAATTTGATGTTAGCTAAGACTGATTAATAAACCCTTCCCAAGTGGAAATGTGTTCTAATTTACTAAAGTTAATATTCCACAGCCTGCATATTTACTACTCAATTATTTATTCAAATACTTATTATTTTCCAAACATAGGGAAAGTATTTTGATTACTAACTGTAGATTTGGGATTTTATTCATTAAAAGTATTTTTTTTCTGTTTGCCTTTTGTTTTTCTAAAAAGGTCACTGCCACAGTAAACTGTATTTTACCAAAATTACCCTTTAAATTTGTGGTCAAGAGTAAAATATATTTGGGGCAAAATGAAGTCAAGGAGACCCCTGTGACCTACTGTGGTTTGGGTATCACAATAATTCATAAGCAAAGTAAGCCCTCGCTTGGCTTGGAGTAGTAGAAATAGAAAAAAATACATTTATTTAGCACAAGGAAGAATTTGCAATGATTGATTCGATAGGATTGACTGAGTAATAATGGTTGTATTGTATTGTTGACTATAAGCTCAAAAGATGTAACTTCCTTTTTGTATGGTTGACAGTTTGAATTCAAAGTGCATTATATTGGTTAATTTTGGATATGTTCTACATTTGAGCAGAGTTGAGTAGATACACTAGCTAAATTAAATTTAGATATAGGCACATCTATCTCTAGATAGACCAGTTTCGCATTTGTATTGCTCTGTCTGCAGAGCACATATCATCCCTGGCTTAGTGCATTTTCATATCCCGATTGCCAAATTTTCTACTTCCTTTGCTCTCATTTTTGACCCTTCCTGGCATTCATCACATCTGCTGACCCTAGAAACTCCAGGTGTCTCACCAAAGATCCCTACCATGCTTATAAGTACTAAAAGTTTTAGCCTTGCAGCCTTCTATGACATCATCATCTATTTTTTTCTGTCCAGTGGCACCTGCAGTACACCATTCCCTGCTCTCCAGCATAACAGTTGGCTAACTCTGGGCACATGGTTAATAGGCATAGCTTTTTCTTCCTAATAAAGGTAACATTTGATCTTGAGGGGAAACTGTTCCACCTTTCTTACCAATTAATGAGAAATAAAAAAAAATGGCAATCTCCAGTTACATAGAATGCAGGGGAACTTCACCATGGAGAAGTGAATTTAGAGGATCCTTACTATGGTCTCCTTGTAAATCATATCTGAGGATCTCCCCTAGATGGAGATGACTCTTTCCCTCAGTGACTTGGGTTATTGACCAAAGCAACAAATGCAAATACAAATTTCTCAATAATCCTTATTCCTGGGAGGAAGGGATATCAAGAAGTCTGAAAGTGGTTCTTGAAAAGATAATTTTTTTTTTTTTTGCAGAGTACATTTGGTACCAAAGGTTTCTTTTTAGAAGATAAGTCAACAAAATTATCTTCCATCAAATTATGCAACAATAAGATACTCTGGGTGATATGTAGTGAATTTATGTCCTTATGGGCTGGATCCAACAAGAAAAACATGAATATGGTATGTATAAAGATTTGGGGTCATTTGATGCAAAAACAGTTTTGCATGCTTGCAATCAACTAACATTTGCCACAGTTACTTTGAATTTACAATTGATACAAAGTATTAAAAATAAAATCTTAGAAAAGCAAAGAAGCACACATAAACATTAAACTTATTTCTTGTGTTTCCTTTTTTTAAAAAAAATTATTTATTTATGCACACAAGAGCTGGGGTACAGGCCAGGGATGCGGGGGCTGAGAGGACTCACCAGAGACAAAGTGGGGAACAGAACAGGCAGAGTGACTGAAATACACTGCTGAGGGGAACAGCAGGAGAGACAGGAGAGGTCTGCTGCACCCTATGGGTTTCTCCTTGGCCGGCCGGGGATTGAACTCGTGTTGCAGAGGCTGTGGATTGCTTCATAATGCGGTGCTTAACCCCTTGCGCCACCAGGGAGGCTCTTTCTTGTGTTTCTTCATTGGTTGGGTGGTTTTGGCCTCAAATAAAATTTACCACTTAACTTAGAAAATATGAGGCAAATTTGAATGGAGATGTAATCTCTTTCCTAGGTGGAGTGGCAATTTTGCTTCACCAGCTCTTCGTTTCCAGGGATTGAATTGAAGGAGAGGGAGAGGGAAGAAAAAGCAAGACCTCTAGGAGGGAAAGGTAGAGTAGAAAGGGGAGGGACAGGGGCAGGGAAAGAGAGGAAGAAGAAGTTTACATTTGCAGACTTCTGTGGTTGAGTAGCTATCTCTGCCACATCCCAGTTGGTATCCAATGAGACTGTTACTGGAAGCTATTCCCAAAGGTTTTTCTCCACCAGCTGACACCACCCCTGTTCTTTACAAGTCTACCATTGTTCAAAGCCTATTTCAAAAGTAAAGATTTTTCATAATTTCCTTGGCCAGTTTCATTATATTTAAGGCATGGATTTATGATTATTATTATATCTCTATATTTTTGTCAGTAAAATGCTTATAAAATTGAACTGTAGTGCATATGCAAGTTGTTAGTATGATTTTTAGCGTGTTCATTGAGTAGATGAAAACAGAAATTCAGGAATGTTAACTAACTCACTTGCCCTAAGTCACAAAGCTTATACTTAACAAAATTAGAGCCTAAAATGCAGGTTTGCTGACCTTCTCCATGACGGTGCAGGTGCACACACCCCTCCGCTGACACATGCTCCTTCCTGGTTGCTTTGCTCCATAATATAGTGTCTATTGTCACTTCCACTTCCAATTAAGCAAGTCATCCCACACCTTCAGAGCAGGTGCAGGCTTGCTCTCAAGCAATGCATGCCACCGGTTACCAAGGCTCACTCACCCTCCAGTGTCTCACATGAATTCATGCTTGTCTATCTGATTCTGTCTCTCCATTTTCAACACCCCTCTGTTCATTTTATTTCTTGGTGTAAGTTCTCTGCCTCTGAAAGGCAGAGTCCATTGCACAGTGATCGTCATTGTAACATGTTTTATTTTCCTGCAGAGTCGAATGGATGTGTACATGTCACATGCTCCCACTGGATCATCGATACAGAACATTCTGCATATAAAGCAGGTTGTATCTTGGTCATAGGAAACCACTGGAATCCTCATTTTCATTATAGGTGAAAAGGCACATTAGACAGATTTGCAGCTGGCTTCTGTTTTGTCCTCATCACCATCTTTATGCTTTTATTTCCCTGAACTTTAAGAAAAAGTAAGAGGTCTAGTGCAAACTAAGGAAGAGACATAAATAAATGTCATCTTAAGTCAGAACTTGTAAATTAGTATGTGAGTTGAAGCAAGAGGTGTATTGGGAAAACCTCAGGGGAGCCGAGGCTTTCACAGAAAGAAAAATCTGTAAGATATGACTTCCCCCTAAAAAGCCTTTGTTTTCTATCAGTTTTTCCTCCAAGCCAAGGGAGACCACTGCTTCCCTCTCTTTTGAACTGTTTTTCATAGTAGTAGTGAGGTTTTTTAAATCCTTCTGTTGAACCAGAAGGCTTATTTTCTTCTCAGTGTATAGTGGTTTTCCAAGATTAGCTATTATTCAGTCACGATTCTCACTCTGAATACTCTTTTTTCTAAAATCATTTGTTTTAGCTTTACCGATCTGATGAATTCAGAGCTTATGACTGGGGAAGTGAAGCCGAGAACATGCTTCACTACAATCAGGTGAGTCACTCAGTATGATGCCCGAAGGTTGGTGTTGAGAAATTATAAGAAATAAAAAAATGAGAAGAGTCCCACCTGGCAGTTGTGCACCCCATTTGCATTGATACAATTTTTTTTTAAATGCCCAATTTTATTCTGTAATCATTGCAGAAAATTCAGAAACAAAAGAAGCATATATTTGAGCGTTACGAAAAATAGTAAATAGGCTTATTTTGACGATCATTTCACAATGCATACAAATATCCAATGATTTTATGGTTGTACACATGAAACTAAAACAACATTTTAGTTTCTTAATTATATCAATTATACTTCAATTTAAAAGAAGAATTTTAAAAAGAAACAAAAGAATGAACTCTTCCACCCAGAGTTAACTAGATGTGTCAATATTTTGTTGAATTTAACCCAATCTTTTCTATATCATATTACTTTATTTAATCTTTAATCTTATTTTTTAAATTTGTAGTTATAGCAAGACATAGCCTATGTTGTTGAAGTCCTTTCTAACATAATCCACAATAGATGCATGATAATAAAAATCATTATATAAAAATTTTTAGACAATGTAAATGAATTCACATTTTTGCATCAACAGAAAAAAAATATTCTTATGAAAGTTGAGTATTATCTACCCATGAAGGCTTGACTTTTAAGACATCTATTCTCCTCTAACTTTACACACCCAAATCTGTAGACTCCTCTACTATTATCAATCATGTTGCCACCTTTTTTTTTCTCAGAGTTAGGGACAGGATTTCTCGGTATTTGCTCAGAACACTAAATTAAACCTTCTATTGTTCTCCTTGATTGATAAATTTAAGGTGATGAATACAAATGTGAATCAATGAAATTGTTTCTGAGAATGAAAACAGTTAATCAGATCAGCCAATTTCTCAGGAATAGATTAAATTGTTAATGAAATGCTGCTGATAGTCTTTAAGACAAATATAGGAGCTAAAATGTGTACATTTGTATTATTTTTAAAATCAGTTTGATAAAGGTATAATTGACATACAATAAAATTCACTAATTTTGTGTATTCAATTTAATGAGCTTTGACAAATATGTTCATTTATATAAAAACATCAAAATGAAGATATTACCCACAAAAGTGGGTAATATTCTATTACCCACAAAAGTTTTTATTCTACTCCTCAGATTACATATATTTACAAATGCTTAGAAAAGGTTCAGAAAAAAATAAACAACAAATGTAAAGTGGTTATTTCAGAAAGCCAAAGAAAGGAGGAGGGGAGTGGACAGACATGAAGGAGTAAATGAGGGTCTCATTTTGGATTTTTACATATTTTCTTATTTATATACTTTTTCCTACCCACCCTCCTTCTTTCCTTGGTTTTAATGAACAGGTTATACTTTTATATTGTTTACATTTACAAGAAAATGGAACAAAAGAGCTCTCACACATAATAATATTATAGCTCTCTTTTCTAATATTTTGAAGAATAATTGACAAAATTGTCAGATATTTAAAATGCACAATATGATGACTAAAATATATAGCAGTTCTTAGAATTTGCTGATCCAGGCCTACCATGTTTTGTTTTTTAAGTCATTTGGAGTCAATTTTTTTTTTAAGATTTATTAATTTTTTTATACAAGAACTGGGGTACAGGCCATAGGCGCAGGCAGTGGTGGGGTGGGGGGTTAGAGGATTCACCAGAGACAGAGTGGGGAGCAGAACAGGCAGACTGACTGAAATACACTGCTGAGAGGAGCAGTGGGTGAGTCAGGAGAGGTCTGCCTCGTCATGTGGGTTTCTCCTGGGTCTCCTGGGAATCAAACCCTCACTGCAGAGGCTGTGGACAGCTCTCCAGCACTGCGCTCAACCCGCTGTGCCACCAGGGAGGCCCCATTTGGAGTCAATTTTTATTACATTCTAGCCTCAGCAATTTGCCCTCTCCTAAAGTTTCCAACATAATCTCTGTTCTCACTCTATATTTTATTGCGAATCAGACAATTCAACCATGTAAGATCCATGAGGGTAGGGATTTCTTTGTTTTGCTTGCCAATGTTTCTCACCTGAAAGATTCCTGGTCCTTTAATACTTACTTGTTGCATGAGTGTGAGTGAAATTTCTCAACTTCACTTTTTTCTACTTAAATTATCTCTGTCATCTTGATTCTCATTTTCTCTCTCAGAACATGAAAGTCCTTTTATATTCAATTTAGTCTGGTCTATACCCTTGACCCCATCTCTTTTCATCTCCTTTTCCTCTTGACTACTTTATTTTCTGAAATGAACTCCTTAAGAAAAACAAACAAAAACCTTCCTTCAACCTATGATCATTCCTTGACTTTGTTTTATCAACAATTTTCAATATTTGAAAGAGCTGAATAGCTCCACTTCTTCCTCTCTCCCACTACTCCCCAACACTGGCAAATGTAGTTTTGTTCTTCTTCATTTGTTTAAAACAGTCACTCTCTTTAAAGTCACCTATGACTTTTAGTTGCCAAATACAATTGCCTACCTTCACCTTCAGAATATTTTTTTTAAAGATTTATTTATTTGGCCTCCCTGGTGGCGCAGCGGTTGAGCTCTGGGTTGCGAAGCTGCCCGCAACCTCTGCAGCGCCAGTTCGATCCCCGGCCTCTGGGCAAGAGTCCCACATGGCGCGCAGACCTCTCCTGCTGCCCGCTGCTCCCCCCAGCAGTGTACTTCGTCACTCTGCCTGTTCTCTCCGCTCTGGCTCTGGTGAATTCTCTTACCCTCCTGCGCCTCAGACTGTACCCAATGCTTGTATAAATAAATAAATAAATCTTAAAAAAAAAAAAAAAAAAGAAATGGTGGGATCACCATAAATCCTTATTTAAAAAAAAAAAGATTTATTTATTTATTTATACAAGCACTGGGTATAGTCAGAAGCGCGGGAGGGTGAGAGAATTCACCAGAGCCAGAGCGGGGAACAGAACAGATAGAAAGATTGAAGTACACTGCTGAGGGGAGCAGCGGACACGGCAGGAGAGGTCTGCGTGCCATGTGGGACCCTCGCCCTGCGGCCGGGGATTGAACCCGCACTGCAGAGGCTGTGGGCAGCTTCACAGCCCGGAGTTCAACCGCTGCACCACCAGGGAGGCCCACCTTCAGAATGTTTTATGTAGTTACCATAGACTCCTTGAAACTCATTCCCCTAAACTGGACTTCCATGACGTAGAGATGTCTGACTTTTTGTATCCCTTTTTGGTTGTTCTTTTTGTCCTTTACACTGGCTACTCTTTTGCTTCCAGTACTCTCAAACTGTCATCATTCTCACTAGATTCTTACTAACTAGTCCCTTTCCTCCTTAGAGAATTTAGCCATGTCTATAGCATCAATTACTTCCTCTATGAGCCATCCACACTGTTTGTCTAGATTTTTTTCTTCACCTACTTTGAACCTACTCCTTTTTAAAGTCATCCCATAAACTGATGTCCATACAGTCATCCCAAGATGGGTTTCTGAGGAATGACCCTAACTTGTCCCCAAAACTTCTAAAGTATGTCTAAATACCTTGAATGCCTACCTCCAATTTTATATCCTACTGTATCACTCCACATAACTTGTTTTCTGGGTACACTGGACACCTTGCCCCCTGATCATGGTATCTGTGCTCTTCCTGCTTGTTAAGAAGCCCTCATCACTGTCTGTTAAAATACAATCACCCCACAGGATTAATTTCAAATGACCCCTCTTTATGTGAAGACCTCAGTTGGAAATAACTTCTTTGTTTTCACTTACCCAACTTTGTATACAAGTACTTAACTATCTCATTTGCTGCCTTCTTTGCAAAATCCTTGAAAATAGGAAGCATTACTCATTTTCTCCCTGTTTCCTTGGTACCAAACAGAACTATGGTCAAAGAAGATGCTCATTTAGTAGTTTCTATTTATTCTGAATTCAGTTGTTGCTATGAAGACCTTCCTTTCACGAATGACCTTTCTTTCTTTTCCATAGAGCCAACCCCCACTGTATGACTTGACTGCCATGAAAGTACCCACTGCTGTGTGGGTTGGTGGACACGATGTACTTGTAACACTCCGGGATGTGGCCAGGGTCCTCCCCCAAATCAGAAATCTACGTTACTTTGACCTGTTGCCAGAGTGGAATCATTTTGATTTCATCTGGGGCCTGGACGCTGCACAACGGGTGTATAGTAAAATCATAGATTTGATGAAGGCATATGCCTAATGTAAGATATCTACTTGTCAGTAAAAAGTTGCTTCCAAGCTGATAAGAGGTTTCAGGAAAATATCAAGGTCTGCATCCTCCACTTATTATTGCTTCTTTATCACAGCATGCCAACTAGGAATTATTGCAATTGTGCTGCTCTTTCTCTAAGAAATGCCCACTTCTGAAATCCTAGACTCCTTCCATCTGTCAGTGCCAGAGTCTCTTTTTTCATCCAGGATGATCTAGCAAACTATTCTCTGCTAACAGTACTGTTAGGAAAATAGTTAAAAGAGGATTTTTTCCCTTTCTCATTTTAAGCTTATTAGTGGCTTCATGCAAACAATACCTGCTTCCCACTCTCTTAGTCAAAAGTTAGAACATTAACATAGGAGTGCTAGTCTAGCAAAAAGACCTTATAAATGCAGTCATCTGGGAATATATTTTGGGTGCCTGTGATCTTGTGGCTTATTTGAAATCACAATGAGAGCAATAGTCATTTTGATCATCTATAAATAAAACATAAAATAAGTCCTGGCCCACATCAAACTAGAAAAAAACAGCAGAATGGAAAACTAACTTAAGTATTGTGTTCCAAATCAAAAAGAAAAATATAAAATTAAGGATGATTAAGATAAGCTAAATTACTAATTATTAAAAGTTTTTACTTTAGGCCACTATCTCTGATAAAGGCTCAATTATTAAAACTTTGTGAGAACAGTATTGGACATTGGCACTAGGCAACAGTTTTAGTTTTAGGTTATTACACATAAGAAATAATTTCTTTTTATCTTGTTCTAAAGATAAACTAAACTGATCAGTCATTGTGTTTTCATTACCAAACCAGAATCTATACTAGTGTATGCAAACCCAAGTAACATGTAGAATAGCTTATGTAAATATAATTTAGAATCAACAAGAGAGGCACAGTGAATATTCAAAATTTTATATTATTTCAATTTCTAAATGATGCAGACCTTGATTCTAAGATTTAGTACAGAGTTCCAAGAAGTAGCATGAAGTTTTAATGTCAGTTATCGTATTTTTCAAATGGTGTGAACTTGGAAACTTCCCTTACCTTCTATGAAGATGTAACTAATAAAAAACTGTGTATGGTCCTTAAAGAATCATCAATATATGATACACATAAATACTTTCAACAGTTTTTTCAACTTAAAGCAGCTAATGTAAATAAGTTCACTAGTATTTACAGGTAGGACCAGTCTTTTGGATGTTGGTTGGATACCACATAATTATTTTTCAATAAATAATCCATAATTCATCATTTTAGCTTTTAGTTTTAGTGTCTTTAAAATGGAATGAGAATTTTAAAACACCTGGAGGGCAATTTTAATTGTCAATGCTTCTATCTATGCCTTTATAGATTTTATTTGGCAAAAATTTGAATAATTTTATCACATTCTATAGTAACTTTAATAGAACTTTTCCAAGAAGTATAATGTATTTTTCATATAAGCAATGCATACTTTTTTAATTCACATTTGATCAAATTGACCATAATTTAATTGATATGATGCACAAAATAGGCATAAATATGTCTGAGAACAAACATCCAACTCTTTGCAAGCATACAACTCAATAAGAAGGAACAAAAAGATGTGACTGTACTAGATTAACCCATTGCTTATGAACATTTAAGAGGCATTTGATCTCACTTTTATATGTTTACAGATAGAAAAGGAGGGCATTGGTTAATGTCAGAATATGGTAAAGTGGAGGTTAGGTAAGAGAATTCCCTTGGGATTTGTCTTAGTATCGTTTCAGCAGTGTCTTGTAAACAATAATTGTGAATAACTCAGTGGCTCATAGTAGCAAACATTTACATTCATACTCGCAGAACATCAGTTCGTCTGGACTCACTCTGCTTTAAAGCTGAAGACAGCTGAGATTGGCTTAAAGCTGTGGATTAGGTCTATATTTCTCCACATGTCTCATCAATCTGGAGCTAGCAATATCAGGGTTTAACTTCTTTACTTGACAAATCCCAAGAGCAAAAGAGGGCCAGCTAAATCACACCAACATATTTAAAAACTGCAATTTGCTTCATAATTGCTAACATGTCTTTGGTTAATGCACATGACATCACTAAGCCTGATCTCAGTGGGGTGAGGTGTTTTGATTCACCTGCAGTGAGACACTGCAGATCATATTTAAAAAAACGTGGATAGAAAATGCTATCATATGGTGTGCAGAACTAGAGAAAATAATCCATCCTACTACAAAATTCTTCACAAAAGAGAATAGGGAATACAACAAAAAGTAAGTCCCTTCCTTCCTGATTGCACAGTCTTCTATTTAAACCACTGACTGCAGGCCCCCTGGTGGTGCAGGCGGTTGAGCACCGCGCTGTGAAGCTGTCCGCAGCCTCTGCAGCACCGTTTCAATCCAAGCTGGCCAGCGAGGGTCCTACATGGCACACAGACACTATCCTGTCTCCCCCGCTGCTCCCCTCATATTTCATCAGTCTGCCTGTTCTGTTCCCCACTCTGTCTCTGGTGAATCCTCTCACCCTCCGGCACATCTGGCCTGTACCCCAGTTCTTGTATAAATAAAAAACAAACAAATAATAAATAAATAATAAAAAAGACCACTGACTGCTATCCATGTTTTTGTGTATCTTTCTATAACTACAAACGTGCACCGTGCATATTCAAATGGATCCAGACATTCTCAGGTGTTTTTTTTAACCTGCATATATTGTACTATATATACTTTTCAATATCTTCCTTTATTTGCTTAACATATCTTGGAGACCATTCCCTATCAATGCATATGAACTGTTATTAAGGCTAGATGGAAGTCCATTATTGACAGAGATTTGGATGGATTAAGATCTTTTTATAATTCTACACAATGCTGCAAAGAATATTGTACCATTATTATTTTAGACTTTATAAAATATCATTTATGTTTACAGGATAAATATATTTGAACCAAAATTGTTGGTTCAAAGAGTATGTAGAATTTCTATTTGGGATGAAAATATTTTTAACTCTGTTGGGTGACAGGAAAATCTCACCTCTGACAGTCTTCTGTGTGAAACCTGCACCATCTTAAAAATTTCCTGGATGTGTACACACAGAAAGAGTATGTCTACTATGTTCATACTAGAGATCATTAATAAGAACAACTTTTATATAATATCCACAAACAGATTAAGTTTTCCTGTAGAAGGGTCAGATAGAGTTTTTTGTTCTCCCTAAATTAGACACAATGCCTGTGATGTCACATCTCCTCTAAGAGTTAAAATTGTGCCTTTTCCAAAAAAGGAGAAATGGGGGGAAAGTGACAATATCTCCAGAGAATACAAAGGAAATGCCTGGTAGTTCTTTAAGCCATTGACTCTATGGTCTCAAGGATAATGTAATCAGCACCTATGCTTTTACCTTAATGCATGTTGCAATTTATGTAGAGGTTTTCATTTGAAAATTATGAATACAACTCTATTAATGTAGAGTTGCTATAAAGCTAATTCTCCTAATTCATACCTGGAATAATTACAAATGCATTAACTCTAGATTTACACTCTCAAAGATTTTGAGCTTTGTTTTCCAAAAATCTCCCATATCATAATTTCTTCTTTAGTTGTGTTATTCTTTCCCCGAGTAGAGAAGATGACCACATCCTTCAGCCTCAGGTATTCTCAGCCTGCCTATAACAGGTGCTCAAAAAATTATTTATTAACAGAATAGAAGTATAGAAGGACAAAAATCAATCACTAAATGATTCTGACTGTTAAAAGGTTTAATGACTTCTAAGTAAAATGACTTCAGTAACAGAAAATCCATTAGTTTCAATAATTTTCCAATGCCACTATCTTAAAGAAGACATGAATATTCAGAGAGATGTAGAACAGATTTCTTTTTCCAGTTAATTGCACTCATCTGTTATTTATATTTAGAGGCATAATTGCATGGGGTCACCTGCAGGTCTTTGGAGCAATGATAAGGTGGGCAAAAATAAGTAAATTGTTACCCTATTTGACATTCAAATCTAATTAAGTTACAGTTTTTAGTCTATAGCATTGGATATGGAAAAGTTGGAAACTTCAAAGAATTGAGATTCTTTTACAGTCCTATTCAGACACTTCTCTTTTTAGTTACATGGGCTGCCATGCAATGGAAAGGCTATGAATTTGGGAGAATAGGCAACTTCTTTGTGAAAGTTTCTTGACTATGGGCTTGATGTAGATGCTCCTATTCCTTCAAGAATTTCACATTAGAAATCCAGGGACTTCTTCTAAGATCTTCCAGAGAAAATTATCTTCCAGGAAGTTTAACCCTAGCTATAGGGTAAGTGTGTTCTTGGACCTATAATAGAAAACATGGATAAAATCAGCTTCACTGAAGAAGAAATCAATGGCAGAGCTTCTATGGATTGATTACATCCTGTAATCATGGGAAGGCTCCATTGTTTAGCATGTAATAGCTTCTTTAAAGGCTTATTTTTTTCTGAAGTGTTTGAATATTCCATATAAATATGAAAGATGGGAGTGTGGTGAGAGTTTAAGCTAGAGATGGAAACAGAGATCACACTAGGTAGTAAGTGTTCAAGGTTTTCTTCCTCCATTCTAAGAATAGGAAATTACCAAAAGATATGATCTAAGGAAAATGCAATCACTGTATTTTGAAGATTATTCTAACTGTTGGATGAATTAGAAGGGACTACAAGGGAGTCTGTGAAATGTGTCGTCCTTGCCAAGTCTCCTGATTCAGGCTGCTTCCTCCTACAGTGTGCTCCAAAGAGATAATCCCGGATAATGTGGAGACAAGTATGTAAAAATAAATACTCAACTTCATTAATCAGCAAAATTCAAATAGATACCATATTGAGATATCACCTCACACCTGTTAGGATGACTAGCATGAACATAAATAAAAGACAACATGTGTTGACAAGAAGGTAGAGAAGTTGGAACACGTGTACACTATTAATGGGAATACAAAAGGGTATAGCTGCTATGGAAAGCAGCATGGAGAGTCCTCAAAAAGTTAAAAATAGAACTACTATATAATCCTGCAACTCTATTTCTGAGTATTGATTCAAAAGAACTGAAATGAGGATATTGAAAAGATATCAGCACTCTTATTCATTTCCATGCTATTCACAATAATCACTATATAAAGATAACCTGAATGTAACAGATGAATGCATTAAAAAATTACACGCACAAACACATGCAATGGAATATTGCTCAGCTTCTAAAAAGAAAGAAATTAGGGCCTCCCCGGTGGCGCAGAAGTTAACC